GTGTTTGCACTTTGATATTTACACAATTTATTGCTATTTCAACTAGTACACTCTTTCCAAATGGTTTGTAGATGCATTCGTACTTTTTAATTAGGATTTAAAAATTACTCACCTACAAAAAGTTATAAATGTCAAACTAATTTTCATTTCAAGATAAATAAACCTGCGAGAACTTTCCAGTATTCACTTGCTATCATCTGTTCACAAGTAAAAGACGCCATTTTTTAGCTAACAAAGATAAAACAACAACGTGAGCAACTTTTGTTGTGTCTCACTTAAGCTTATCGGCATGAAAATGAGTCGTTCTGTGCTTGTGATTTTTGCTCTTTTTACCATCCTGCCAACTGCAGAGCCCTTGTTGGGCGGAGGCCCCGCTTCACACTGGGATGACTCAATCTTTCGCATTGGAGAAGATGTAGTTGATACTTTGTGGCACAAGCATGGGCTTGTGTTTCCCAACTGCTGCACTGCCACCTTCATCTCATACCAAGTTCTGATTACAGCCAGACACTGTTTGTAAGTTTAAACAACTTGATTGTATTGTAATACGAGAAAAGTAAAAACGTATTTTTACATCTAGTCATTCTGAAGGACCAAATGTTCGCGTGAAGTTGATTCGATATAATGGCAAGGAGTATACTTTGGCAGCAACGATTTACTCTCCGGAATCTGAATACCGAGGTGATCTGGCAATTGTGGTTTTAAAGCATGCTCTACCTTCATCAGAAAACATTGATCCTATGCCTATTAATGGCAGTGCCGTTGCATGCGGCGAAGACGTAGTAGTGTACGGTTATGGCTTTAGTGATACACGACATAGCACTTTTTTCGGATACTTAGCAACACGATGGGATCAACTGACCAGTGTTAATTATCAATTTTTGCGAACAAAAATCATTGAGAGGAATTGTTTCAAAGAAGACTATCTAATCACTCAAACTTCTACTGGCACTGCATGCTTTGTAAGAAAACTTTTCAAAAACTAAACATTTGTATTGACAATTTGAATTTTTAGGGTGATTCCGGAGGCCCACTGGTGAAAAAGGGATTTATTGTTGGAATTTTGAGTAATGCAAAATTACTAACAGAAGAAATCGTTTGTACTAATGGGATGGAAAATTATTTCGTTCGATTAAGTGAATACTTAAATTTTATTGAAAACTTTGTTCACGTGTACAAATAAGTACTCGAGTGGGTGTCGAAGAACTCGTAGATCGATAAAGCACACGCAAAACTATCAAAATCTCAATCAAACATGGCCATCATCCTCTGCATCCTCGACACGAATCTTTTTAAAACCTTGTTTCCATCTTCTCCCTCAATCTTCTACATACACTGTCTGTTTTCATTTCCCCTTTTTGGCTGAAACCTTTATTCTCAATACATAAAAACTTACGCCAATTTCATCTTTTGTCTGTTGATAAAAGATAGATGCGCAACTACTCACATACTTGAGGCGGTGGCAAATCCATCTGTTTAAAATATTATAAATTTTGTAATTAGAAAAGCATCAGCCACTTAAGCACAACATTTTTAACCTTTACTAACGATTCACTCCAGCTGTCGATAATTGTAACCACTTGTCACGGAATTTCTTCCTTGAAATGAGAGAGATGAGAAAGGGAGAAATGAGCACGGGCGCTGGTGTTGGTCCGGTGTAGAAAGAGAGACGCGGGCGCAGATAATGGTCGAAAGATTTAATCGATGGGAGGAGAAGAAGGGTAAGGGAGGGTAACAGGGAAGAAGAAGAAGTGGTGGGGGCCTCTCAGGGCGAATGGGCGCAGGGTTCAGGAGTCCAAAGACGGAAGGGTTTGGGCACGGCAAACTGCCGGCGATGATGGGCGCGCACTGGGCAGCCGGTCCGCTGAGCGACTGCTAGAGAGAAGGGGGTTTGGGCGACTGACTCTACGGCACCCACTGACTGACTGACTGACTCTCCGACCGTCTGGGCGCCGCAGGCTTATATGCCTTCTAGCGAGGGTGGGGCACGGGGGGTGGTGGGTGGTGAGACGTCGCGAGGGGTCGCCCCGCTCACGTTCACGTCGTCCGATTGCTCACGGGCGAGGGGCTCGGCAGCTTGGCGATAAGCCGGCCAGCGTACGCTCCTCGCGCTGGAACCTTCTCGAACGGCCTCGTCAGAGATGGCCATCACCTCAAGGAAATTTCCTTGACACCACTAAATATTAAAAAAAACTACTTGAACGCCTCTTGATAGATTTTATTGTCTTTCATTTTCTCTGTTTCAATAACAAAAAAAGGCATCTGCCCAATTACTAAAACTATGCATAGCACTAGATTCACAGCATAGCATTGTCACCATAAAATGTATGCGTCATTAATTTCTAAACCAGCTTTATCCGTTTTATGAAAAAACATTTTTCAGATTGTGTGAGTGCTTAAAATTTTCGTTAGTATGCAATTGTATAAAAGGAAACCGTGCAGTGCTTTCTTTTTTGTTAGTTCTAATGATAGTCACAGTAAAACTTGCTTCCCGCTTTGGTTCTGCATTAATTTTTTTAATCACTACATTTCAATTTTAAGTTTTTATCATCTTTTAGTTGTTTGAAAAACTAAAAAACTCTTCATCATGTCGACTCTCCAGATCTTTGCAGGCGTTATCTTTTTGGCAGCAATCACCTTCTTGCCAAACTACAGTCACAGCGACGACAACCTACCTACCACCCAGAAGAGCAGAGATTCATTTGCAACCTGCAAAATGACTAGCAAGAAAGGCATGGCTTTCTGGAACTGCTCAGCTTTGCTCGAAGCGGAGATAGAGAAAGAGCGCTTTGGCAGGTTTCCTCGAATCAAGGTTAGCCTTTTTTTTGTTTGTACACTACTATTATTACACAAACGTTCTTATCAACTCTTTAACTAATTAACTTTATTTCATCTTTATCTTTTTGCTCAGAAATGCTGCAGTTTCATAGCCTACCGTGAGTGCGTTGTGGAGACCGCGGCAGAGCACTGCCTGGACAGGCAGGATCGAGCCGGCCTGATCCACTACCTGACACACCACATGGAGATTCAAATGGNATAGAGAAAGAGCGCTTTGGCAGGTTTCCTCGAATCAAGGTTAGCCTTTTCTTTGTTTGTACATTACTATTACTGCACAAACCTTCTTGTCAATTTTTTTAACTATTTAACTTTATGGCATCTTTTTCTTTTTGTTTTTCAGAAATGCTGCAGTTNACATGGAGATTCAAATGGGCATGAAGATCAGCACTGACACGACGATGGTCTTCGACGAGTTCTGCGAAGAGTACCTGGACAGCAAAACGCCCATCCTCGACTGCCTCCAGCCAAAGGTGCTGTACAGTGGTGTATTTGCCCTCATCACGGCTTCATTCCTCATCATGCTCGTCTTTTACATTGTTTACAAGATTGCACGGAAAAAAATGCTAGAAGAAACAGTGGAGGACCAACAGGCGCTTCATCCAAAAAATCAGCCTATTAGTTTAACTAACAGCGTAAAAAGTGTGAGCAAAATGTAGCAAACGATAGCTTTTGATAAATTAATTGTTACCAGCAAAAATCAAACCAAATAAACCATCAATTCTTAATGTACAAGTTATTTATTAAATAAACCTTGCATTTCATTCTTGCCATATTTGTCATAACATTCACAGTCATTCAATTGAACACAGTAATCAAAACGTTTAAAAATGTTAGTTTTTTATTTTGTAGCCGGAAATTAAACACAGCCTTTTTTTGTTGATAGTAAGTTTTTTTGTTTCAAGAAACGCTGTTAGTAACAGTGTTAGTAGGAATGGTAGTAGTAGTAGTAGTAGTAGATCACTTTGTTAGTAGCGCCTAGTTTACATTTTTTTGCTTCAACATATCTTTTTAAGCAGAAATGTCAGAAATGTGAGTTATGACAGTAATGACAGAGAGTGCTTAGTGTTTAGATTGCTTGTTAGTTTTGCAGTCAAAATTGATGCAAGGGGTAGAAAGAATACTACTAGTAGTAGTAGTAGTAGTGGGGTGAGCATGCAGGGATTTTTTTCATTTTCATCTTCATCATCATCATCTGCCTCGTCACACTGCCTCCTCCTCCTCCTCCTCCTCCTCCTCTGTTTTCGGCTGCTTCTTCGCCCTCCTTACCGAGGGCGGCGGCGGGACGCCGTGCAGCATCGCCAGGTGCATCTTCAGACTGTCCCTCGTCTTGAAGGGCCGCTTGCAGCTCTCCACCGGACAGGCGTGCGCCCGCTTCTCACTGTGGACCAGCTTGTGGCGCGTCAGGTTGCTGCTCTGGCGGAAGGACTTCCCGCAGAGGGTGCACTCGTAGGGGCGGGCGCCGGTGTGGCGCAGCTCGTGCTTCTTCAGGTTGTCCCGCCCTTTGAAGAAGGCCGGGCAGAAGGTGCACTCGTGCACCTTGACGCCGTCCCGGAGCACTGGCGGCCGCGCCGGCTGGTAGCCCTGGTAGTCGGTGCTCTCCACGGGCGGAAAGGCGGTCGGCTCGGTCAGCCCCTCGATTGGGCGGACGCCACTGTTGGCGCCTTTTCCGGCCACGCCCAGCTTGTCCTTGAAGACGTGCTTGCAGACGACGCTGCGCTCCATGTGGCGGCGGAGGACGGAGGGAAAGGAGAAGTACTTGCCGCAGTTCTCGCAGGGAAAGCGCTTTTCGTACTTCTTCCGTCGGTACTGCCGCGTGTAGCTCACTGAGTAGGGAAATCCCAGTGACTGGGAGGAGGAGTCCTCGGAAGAGGAGGAGGAGGAGTTCCAGGAAGAGGTAGAGTCATGACGCACCCGAGAGGAGTGGAAAGATGAAAGGAGGGACAGATCGGCAGGCAAATTGGCCGAAGACTGAGAAGCATCCGAGGTGTTCAGCTTCTGACCAGGGCTCACTTTGGCTTGCTTCCTGCTCACTAGGGTCAGCTCGCTTCGAGATGGAACTGTGGGTTTTTAGGTGAAAAGATAAACCAAGAAAAAAGGTGTGAGTGATTGGGGATGACAGTAAAAGCAAAAAGCTGAATCAAAACAACAGCAAAATAACTCACCGTATTCGCTATCACTGCTGTCATCACTGGGGCTGGTGCTGCTGCTGCTGCTGCCCTCAACATATTCGTAATCCTTATCATCCTCCTTATTATTCTTATTAATCTCAACATGATCGCGATCAGTGGTGATGGTTGCTTCGCTGTCGTAGTCACCCGCGCCTAGTTGTTTGTCGCCTTGCTTGCTGCTAACAGCAGCTAACACCTCAGTCTGCTTCTTTAATCCAGAAGCAAAGAAGTTCTCCATCTTTTTGAGCTGATCCACTGGCTCATCCTGAGCATGTTCAACTTCAGGGCTGCTGCTGCCACTTTCGCTGCCGCCGCCCATACTGAGCAGCTTAAAGGGAATGTCGTCAAAGCGGCCGTCCTCACTGTACTCCTCCTCATTCTCGTCTAAATGGGCGTCAAATTGATCGGACGACGCAGCTGAAGAGTGCTCTGTTTGGGGAAACAAACAAAAAAGAGTAAGTGTGAGTACAGTTTAAGCAAAAGATAAACAAGGCAGCAGTTTCCACTTCCGTTCCACTTACCACTGTCATCATCACCATCAGAGCGAAGGAAGTAGGCGCTGAAGGAGGAGGAGGCGGTGGCTCCCACTCCCACACCCACGCCCATTTCAGGCATCTTCAGCAGACCTGGTGCACCACGAGGGTGACCACCACGTGCGTGCTCGGACTTGGCTCCACAGTCGAAGAATCCTCGCAACGTGGCAGTGTCCATGTTGTTGTTGTTGTGGTTGTTGTTGCTGTTGCTAACCGTTCCGAGAAGCGTACAGCAGTGACAACAAGAGAGAGTGAGTAGTGCCGGAAAGACGGAACTTGGCTCTAGAGCTGATGGCTAGGGCCGGGGACAGGGCCGGGGACAGGGACAGGGACACAAGTGGTGACGTGGGTGACTAAGCGAGAGTGAGCAAGTAAACGAGCCAGCAAATGAGTGAATGCAATTGACTGAGTGAGTATGCGGAGAAGGGTGCTCACACACTGAGACTGAGGATTACCTTGCAGACCCTGCTGAGAGGCCTGGCCGAGGTGGCCGTTGGGAAAAAACCAGTCCTGAAGGGATTATAGGCTGAAAGCGACGGCGACGACGCAGTAGCAGCAATGGTTTACAGCAATGGTCGACAGCAATGGTTGACAGCAGTGGTTGAACGCGCGAGAATCGTTTGACCTACCCCAAATAGGTCAAAGCCTCAAGTTTTTGGCGCGCGCGCGTTTTTCTCTGGGGAATTTTTTTTCGTTTCTATCTTTTGCCCTGTTAGCAGGCTGTGAGTTACCTACCGATCGAAAGTTACCACTGACTGCAGTGTGTTATTCAGTGGCAGTTGCATCATTGCTTTCTCTCTCTCTCTCTCTCTCTCTGTGTGTGTCATTTGAGTTGATAAGAGAGAAAACGACTAGGGAGTCTGG